ATTAAGCACATATGTTAAATAGGTTCTCAACCAGAATTAATTTTTTGAAGGGAAACAGCAGCTTAGTAAATTATATGACTCAAAGCACAATGGCACAATGAATTTGCCACTGGATTCATTTCTGAATTTACAAATTCTTCTTCATCCTGACAGTTCGTGCCATGAGGAAACAATACATGATGGATGGATGTTAAACATGTTTACTTGCATGAAAATAAGTAATTATGTGAAAAAGCATGTGGACCTGCTAATGAAAATTGTAATACCAAATCAGCTTGGCAAAAAAAATCACCACACGTCTTGCCATCATTTACGTGAAGCATAACAGTAAAAAGGGTGAGTAAGAGAAGAGAGAGAGCAATCAGTATTGGTATGGGTAACATTATGTCATGATACTGCACATTTTGCAGTGTATCTGGCTGAATAAAATGTTGCTTAAAGGTGCTTCACATAAAAGTATGTCAACTGAGATTCCCATAAGAGAAAACTTAATAAATGCAGAAAGAGAAGAGAGCATTTTCTCCTAAGTTTGGAAGATCAAACTGAGATTGGAATACGAGATGAAAGTCATAATACATATACAAATGGAAGCACTAAATACAAACAAGAAATGCAAACAAAGACAGAAAACTAACTATATACAATAGATACAAATACAGGAGTGCATGTGTAGAAATTATGATGCGAAATTTATATCACTTAGGAGGTGTGTGGTATAAGGACATAATTCCTTGTCCCCCTGTAGTATTTCTTATTCAAATAAGATGAAATTCATGAGATGGTTACAAGTTGTAGCTTTCTCTAAAAATTTCTATTGATTTTATTGAGCAACTTATCAGTTGTTTCAATATTGAGGTCCTCGTGAAATATTTGATTGTGCATGTAGAAATGTGCGGTATTAATGTTACGCAGATATTTGCTTTGAACTTGGAATTTGAGGAGGTCATTTTGGGTAAGAGCGGTCTAAGCTGCTGATGCATAGGTGTGAACCAGTCTTACAGTTGATATACAGTGGTGACCAAAATTGTGGACACTTTTGGAAATTTTTATGTTTTTGAACTTTGTATGCTTATAGAAAACGTTACGTTTCACAAAATGCAAACTTGTATCTATCATTTTTAAGAGAATTTATTACCGAGTTCAATACAAAACACAAATTTCAATTATTTGCAATACAAAAAAAGTTAAACGATAATAGTTATCAATATACATTAGATAGCGATGATTGCAGTGAGTTATCAGTACTTAGTAGGGTACCCTTTATTTTTTATTACAGTTTCACATCGACGTTTCATTGAGCTGACAAGAGTTTTAAGCTCTTCTTTCGTTATTACATGATGCCAGGAAACAATTATAGCCTCAATTAGTTCCCTTTTATTTGATGGGTGCCTCATTCGGACAAGAGTTTTCAAACAGTGCCACAAATTTTCGATAGGATTGAGGTCAGAACTGTTTCCTGGCCGTGACAACAATTTAATGCTCTTTGTACGAAACCACGCTTTCGATATTTTGGCCATGTGGCAAGGAGCAGAATCTTGCTGAAAAATAAACGAAGCATTGTTGGGAAAGAGATCTCTGATGGAAGGTAGAAGTTTTGGTTCTAGAATAGTGTCAGTGTATTTTCTGGCATTCAGTGTCCCATCGATGACATGAAGGTGACCAATGCCATCTGCTGACATACACGACCAAATCATAACACTAACTGGGTTTTTCACAGTTGCTTGAATGCAGTCAGGATGTAGCTCTTCTCCTATCTACGTCTTACATATTTTTGCCCATCACTACCGAATAACGATATCTTAGTTTCATCACTCACTTGTGACCACTGATCATCTGTCCAATTAATGTGTTCCTTTGCCCACTGTAGTATTTTTTTTTTTTTTTTTTCATTGCTGAAAATTAAGATAAAGCTTTTTTCGTTGATATCTACCTCTCAGTCCAACATCTGTTAATCTTATCCTGATTGTTCTTGAACTGACAGAAACACCAGCATCATTCAGTTCACTTCTGATGGCTGCTAATGACATTTTTCTATCTTGGAGACATAGTCTTTTTATTCTTCTGTCATCAATAGATGTGGTGCACCTTTTATCGGCCTTTTCCTTCTTTGTTTTTTATTGAATTTGTCTCCTGATACTCCTAAACAAAACTTTCAGACTCCAGATGTAGTCACTGAACCACCCACCTGTCTTGCAATTTCAGCATAGGAAAGACCACTTTCTCTCAACACAATAATATTACATCTCTTTCTAGGTGTCCAATCTACTCTTTTAATTGATGTCATTGCTTCTTGACTAAATATGAAAATTTTTTACCAAAATTCCTACTTGTAATTGCTGTGTATAAGAAACACGTGCTCCTTCTACAGAACAAAGCAAAATAATGAATTGTTTCAAGTGTAAACATTATGTCAGCTTCTACTGGCAGTTACTAACATTTGATTGGTTCTCAGAATAAGAACAGTGATTGGCCAGGAAAGCTAGACATTACAAACCAATATAAATAAATAAATAACTGTGTTTTTTTATTTATATTAAAGTACATATAACTTTTTTTTTGTATTGCAAATAATTGAATTTTGTATTGTATTGAATTCAGTAATAAATTCTCTTTAAAATGATATATAAAAGTTGCATTTTTCGAAACGTACATTTTCTATAAGCATACAAAGTTCAAAAACATAAAAATTTCGAAAAGTGTCCACAATTTTGGCCACCACTGTATAAATGAGATATTTCTTTCTTAGATCTAGTTTGGAATATTTGCCTGTAATTGGAAAAAAGCTGTTGGTGACTTTATGGCTTTTTTCTTAATATTTTCAGTGTGATCCATCCAATTAAGTGTGCTAATGAAAATAACACCAAAAACTAGGCTTTGAAAACTTTTGGAATAATTTCTGCAAAGAGAATCATATTTTTCTTTAGTAAAATATTCATGTGCTTTTTATTAATTATCAACAGCTGAGATTAGTGCGCCAATCTCCGATATTTGGCATTAAAATTTGGAGTTTTTAGATAGCACGATTTGCCTTTGCTGATTTGACTGCCAAGAATGTGACTGCCTTTCTTGGACAAAAATGCTTTTCAGGGAGTTTACTTATATTAATTTGTATGTCATAAAACTCTACATAGGTTGCATAAATAAAATGAGACCTTAGGCAGAATAATTTATGTTCAGGGTAATTTTTTATAGTAACTTGGCATTATTATTATGAAGATTTTAAATAAATTGGTACTACAGTATAGTAGGAATGTAGATGCTTATTTTTAGCATTAGGAATGAATTTTTAAATTTAATTGTTGTAAGATAAAGATTAAGAATTTACTATCGTATTAAGTACTTTGAATGTGTAATTGAAAATATAGATTGTCTCCTTTCTTGAAGCTTTTTTGTTAAATTTGAAAATATAGATCCTAAAAATGTTAATGATGTTTAAACTTAAGGGATTTTCAAATATATTTATTCAGTTTTACTTATTGTGATATTTTGAAATATGATTGCTGTTAAAATAGAAATTGGACATTTTTATGCACAGTCTCTTAAAAATAAATTTATAATATTATCTCAGTCTTACAAACAGACATAACAAAGACATTTAACAAATATTTTTCAGCTTTAGGTGTTTAAGTATCTTAACTAATCTAACTGTAAAATATCCATTTACTTTTAAATAATGCAGAATTGTTGTAAAATACAAAACATCTGAAAATAGATTACATCTTTCTAATGTAGACTTTCAGAACTGGTCAGGTTACAATAGAAGTAGTTAAATTATAAATACTGTTCAGTTGATGTCAGTCTGTTTCCTTTATGCCACTGCATGCTACTGACAGACTTAATGCATCACTTTTAATTTATATGCTGCATAATTAAAAGCAATTTTGCTAAAAGACTTTATTGATCTTTTTCATTTATCATAATTTATATCTTATCCGTCCTAATTTTACATGTAATGTCCCAAGTGTTTTGCAGTGGTTAATGTATCATGTCATGTAGGATATCTGTGTAATACTTCTAACAGAAAAGCAAAAAAATCCATCTTGAAGGAAAGCATAAAGCAGAAAATTTTTCTGTCCGTTCGCTAGGAAGAAATACTAATTAACAGAATATCCTTTTTAAAAATCCCTTAAACTGTTTTGGAACTAAGATGCCTCGGTTTTTAGAAACACTAAGTAATGTAGAATGCATCAGTTAACTTCTGTGCTTTCTTTGTAGTTACTTTTTCATTCATTAAATATTGCAATATTGCTTTTACTTTTCATGTACTTTTTATTTATTTATTTACTTATTTTTACTTCTCGTGTTAACACGAGTATCTCTTCATTTATATCTGATGTAATATATATTGCTATACATGAAACACAGCCTTTTCACAGTGAATCTTGCTTGCATGCCCTTGTGGAATTTAAAATTTTGATGTTTGGAATGCTGTATGTTAATATATCTGTCTATCTATGGTAAGGTGTTTCATCTGAAAGAAAAAACTGTGCATTTTAATCCATTTGCAAAGCTTGATTTTTGAAACATAATATATAGATATTGCACTTTTCACTCTCTTCTTTCCTGTCTTTCATATTTTATATTTATACATTTATATATGCTGCCATATTGTAAAGTGCTGTTGCATGGTCTACTATTTCTTGTGCAGTGATATTCACTGTTATTGAAAATTCAAAGTACAGATCCATGTTGTTTACAACAAAATGTCTTATTTTTACCTAGCTTTATTCAAAGTTTTATGGTTGTGATCTTTCAATTAGCTCCGTATATTAATGTTACAGTAAAATTAATTTCATTTTAAATTCCAAAATTTATAGCTCATCATACTTAATTTTAATATTTATAAGAAATTAAAAACATCTTAAAGGCCTTATTAACTATAACATGGTTCTGTTAATTGGATTTTGGTGTAAGCTCTTTCTTAATGTGCAACTAAACTGTTATTGTGCTCGTCATCTTCTGGCTTGTTAACTACTACCTGTGGTTACTTTGGGCCACAGGGAGCTCATGGGCTTGGCATTATGATAATTGAAGGCAAGCATGCTGAAGTTGGACAGGGCATCTTCATATCGGACATCCAAGAAAACAGTGCTGCTGAACAGGTGAGCATGTATCTTGCATTATTTGTGCTTTTATCAGCTTGTTATAAATAATAAGTAGCTATTGTACTGCACTGAAGCATGTGCTTTAATTTTTTATTTGTATTTGACGCATGAATCGATGTTTTCTATAACATTTCAGTGTACAGTGTAAATTCTATATCTGAAATATTTAGATCTGTATAATGTATACTTTATAAAATAATTGGAATGAGTTAATAAAATCAGGCTGATTCAATAGTTATATTATTTATTAAGGCAGGGAAGAGTTTTTAAGTTATATCTGAAAAGACCTTTTATCCTTTCTTGGCATGAATCAAAACCTGATTAATATCCTAGGAAGAGATCTTGAAATTATGATAAGTTAGCAGAGAGAAAAGTAGTAAATTATGAAAGCAGGAATTAAAAAGAGTTTGTGGGACAAAATATTTATCATTAAATAAGAAAATAATTAACAATATTCAACATGATAATGTAGAAGGTAACCAAAAAAAGTTCTTGTCGTTTCTGATATGACATTGGAGTGAACTCCAACATAAAAATAGTTGTCGAACCTGGCAATGAAGTGGTTAGGATGAGAGTCCGGACATTGACCAAGAGTATAAAAGTGTGTTGCATCATTACTTCAAACATAACTCACACAGTGACTGATTGAAATGGATGTATCAAAGGCGCTTGTTCAGTGTTGTTTGCTCTGTGATTTTAAAGTGGGCCTGTCAGCAGCAGAATCAAGTCGCCGAATATGGCCTTTGGGGATGATGTCGTTAAAGAACGAAGCGCTAGGCAATGGTTTCAGAAGTTTGTGTCAGGGAATATGTCTCTTAGTGACTCACGACGCAGTGGCCTGCCACAAGCACTGGACGATGAGACCCTGAGAGCATCCATAGAGAGTGACAGTAGCCAAACATGTGTTGAGCTTGCTGCACACTTCCAGGTATCGGATGAAATGATCAGACTCCATTTGCACTGCATAGGAAAGGCATACAAGATGAGCAAGTGGGTACCCCACTCACTGTCCGATGTAAACAAGCAACACCATGTTGCTGCCTGTTTGTCATTGCTTACTTAGCACCACAATGCATCCATATTTGATTGAGTACTCACCAGCGATAAAAAGTGGGTTTAGTATGACACACCCAGGCATTCCAGACATTGGTTGTCACTATGGGACCTTGTGCCTCACACTGTGAGACCTTCTCTCCACCCATGCAAGATCATGCTCTGTATCTGGTGGACTAGTCACCAAGTGGTACATTGTGAGCTTCTCCCAGTGGGCCAAACCATCACAGCAGGCCTTTACTCACAGCAGTTGGAATGTGTGCATCAGGCATTCATGCATAAAGATGCATTGGTCAATCGTAAGGGTGTACTCATCCTCCATGCTAATGCAAGCCTGCATATGGCTCGGGAGGCCAGAGACACCATCCAGCGACTGGGCTGGGAGACAGTACCCCATCCACCATACTCCCCAGACCTCGTGCCAACAGACTACCATTTTTTCCATTCTCTGCACAACCATCTTCATGGGAAATCCTTCAACAACCGCCCAGACCTCGAAAAGGCCCTCACAGACTTCTTTGCTTCCAAGACTCCTGAGTTTTACCTCGATGGCTTTGCACAGCTAACCACTCGTTGGCAAAAGGCACTGAATGCCGCTTGTGATTACTTTGAGAATTAGCAGTGATTATTATTTGTTTTATGACTTTTTTTCCGACTGTCCAAAATGGCAAGAACTTTTTTGGTTACCTTTTAACTGTAATAAATTATTGCTCAAGTGCAATTAAACTAAAAGAAACAATAATACTTGTAGTAATATAATTTATTGTCTTACCCCTGATATGTAAAAAATAACTTTGGAAATCAACTTAAGGTTAAGGGTATTTGATAACAATTATTATATTCAGTTTAATTTTTTTAATATATTTTAAGTGTGGAAAATGCAGTTTACAGTTAAAAAGATTTAAAATGAAAGAAATAGAATAAATTAAATATTTTACTAGAAATAGTATAAATCAGTATAATCAATAAAGTAAAAGATTTTGGGAAAAAGGGAAATAAAGCTTCCATCTTATATTGTGCTAATGCAATGAATATTTCATATACATGATTATATCTGCCGCTTTTATATATATATGTAGCACCTTTTTGTAGGACAGTACTTTCACTTAAAGTAAGTTTTTTTTAATTATTGAGGAGATAAAATTTTAGAGAGAATCTGAGAATAAGCATAATGTTTTAAATTCACAAGGTTGTTAGGTGTATTTCAGAATTTTATGTTTAATGAAAGAATAGTTCTATGCTTAGACATTTAAACTAATCTTTGTGTTGATACAGGCTAAAATATGGGCTTGTTATGTTAGGTAAAGTTAAGAAAAGATAGTTCGCAAAATAATGTATTCTTTTGAATGATAGTATTATGATTAATCTAAAATCTTATGAATTATAACAAAATTAATAAAAATATGTAAACTTATAAATTTATATTAAAAGTGTTTTATTAAAAAATGAAATTTTGTAGTATTATGAGAGCTATATATAAAAAAAAAAATAACATAAAGCCTTCTTCATGAAATTTTTCCAGTTTCGTTTTTTACAAGTGCCTTCGATTGCTAGTTACTGTATTACCCCCCCAAAAAAAAAATCTATATAGCTGAATGTTTGGATATTTCTTTGCATTTTCAAAAGAAATAAATGATTTTGGAAAATGTCCAGTTATAGCAGTCAGGGCTGTGAGGTGCTTTGCATCATACATATTGAATCTTGAAGACTGGATAGACAACATTCAGCTGTTGTTATGTGAAGGGTATGCTCATTGTGCATGTAACACTTAAAAAAAAAAAAAAAAAAAAAAAAAAATTATTTATAATTGCATGGAAATTGATAATATGTCTGCTTTAAAGTTTTTCCTTTAATGCATCTTGTATTTAAATATCTATATGAAAACCATACAAGTGTTTGTTTAATTTTGGTTAAATAAATATTATTAATTGTTTAATATTTTAGAGATTTTCTGGTACTGTTTTGTTATCAGGACCGGATTCAGAAATGTTTGCATGTGTGTGTGCATCTATGTGTATGTGTGTAAACACATATTTATACATATATACATACATACATGAACACATACATCCATATATAGTACGTGCATAAATTATACATTTCTGAAACTGGTCCTGATAAGTGATTTTCCTATTGCAGTATCAAAGAAAGTGAATAGGAAAAAAAATTAGCTTCATATCCAAGAAGTCAAAATGATAGAGTATGGCCAAAATGTCCGATTGAGTGCCTTTTCTAGAGAAATTTATAGAGAAAAATAATCAAAACAGTTATAAATATAATTCTGATTCTGTTTAAAATCTTAATTGGTATATATACACATGTATGCACTCAAGATTACAGAAGTTAATTTAACAAATAAATGTAAAATGCTTAAATACTATAGAATTTATTGTAGAATATGTGCATATATATGTATATATAAATACATAAAAGAAGCGTAATAAGAGGCAAAAATAAAAAGCAAATTTTTTAAACTTGTTCTGCACTATAGCTACAGGATTTTGAAGTAAAATAAACTTAAAGCATTTAAAGTTAAAAGTAAATTAAATTTAAAGTAATATTGAGATTGTTCCATTACTTTCTTGGCATGAATCAAAACCTAAGTAATATCCTAAGAAAAGGTCTTGAAATGCTGATAAGTTAGCAGAGGAAAAAATACTATATTATAGCAAAAGTTAAAAAGAATTTTTAGGATAAAAATATTTGTCATTAAAATAAAAAAACATTAAAACAATATTCAACATGGTAATGTAAGTGCGATAAATTAGAGATATTTGCTATAAACGGAGCAGAAAAATATATTCTACTCCAAAAAATATGAAGTAATTCTTTTTCCATTAGCCACTGGTACTATTTTTAAATACAAAAATGTTAATTTAAATGCTACAAAATTTTTTGTCAAATATATGCATTAGAATGTCTGTAAATTTTCATCAGATGTTGCTCTGAAATTGTTTAAGACTAAAGTGCTGTGGAAATTTTTAAATAGTTGTATGTTGTGGTAAATTGCTATGCTTATGTTGCTATGGATTAGCCAATAAAATGAACTGCTCTATTTTTCAGACTTTGCTGTTTTGTAGGTTAATAAAACAGAAGTCTGTATGTAATTGTGCTGTTGATTTTATCCCAAAGATAACTTTTTCTGTATTGCATCCTTGTCACACCTCGCGCCCGTTCAGACACAAGGTGGGTTTGTCGATTTCTCATATATTCACCATAGTAGGAAAATAATCTCTATTTAGCCTTGAAATTTTATCCACAGATTTATTATACATAACAATACACAATACACAATAAAAGAAGTACACTATTATCCATTAAAAAACCTATTTACAATATAAAGTACACAAAACATGTTTAAGTTATCTCTTTCCACACGGCATGGCTGCCGGTCCAACCACCAAAATATCCGTATTGACCCCACCAGCCTGCCTCAACCGTTTTTTTCCTTGTTTTTACATGGAACTATGATTCCTTCTCGTTTAAATTAAAATTTCTATTACGAGGATGAAAACAAAGGAATAGCCCAGAATTTTTTATAATAATCCTTTTTCATACACAAACTTTCTTGTGCCTAAATAAAGTTCAATGGGAAAATTGTTAAGTAATGAAATTGGTGTTTTTTAAATTTCTTACTGATTTATTCACAAACTGAATTTTATTATGTTTGCTTTGATAACTATTTATTTTTCATGCTTATCTCATTTAAAGTAGGAAATGTTTGATTTATGATGTTTCACAAAATTAAATATCACTGTATATAAATCTGATATTTGATCTTCATTTATACTTTAGCAATGGCCTGTATGCTTTCAAGCCAACTAGTATTTAGATATATTATGGATGAATTCAACTCACTAATTTAAAAATTTGGTACTTTTATATTTTTAGAACCGGATTAAAAAATGTAGATATGTATGCATTTAGGTAGTACACAAACACATACCTACCTACATGTATATGTATGTATACACACACATACATATATACACACATGCATGCACACATATATACTTATATTTCTGAATCTGGTACAGAAAAGCACCCAAATTTCTGGTCTACCTGACTAACATGTAAAGTTTAAAGAAATTAAAAGCTCTTCTAATATAGAATCTGTTGCTATCTGAGATCCTCAATGATTTGATTATGATGCAGGCAATTAACAAATGAAAGTTAATTTTTGTTTGAATGGCTAATGAAATTTTTTTTTCATTTGACTGTTTAATTATCATAAATTATTTTAAGTTAATTGCTTGTGGAGTGGTAAGCTGAGGGAGAATTTTCTAAGGGAAACTTACTTCTGTTTTTGTTAAATAATACAGTGCAAATGGCCTTGAAGGTACTCAAAAATGAAATACATTTTGAAAATACTTGCGTTCTTTGACTTTAAACATTCATCTAATAAATTATTCTTTTTTATCATTATATTCTCTTTAATATGGAACTGAAATTAGTTTATATTTTTTAATATTAATTAAAATTAGGAATTGGTGTGAAAATATTTTGTAATTATTTGTTTTGAAGTTTACCGTTTTGCTAATTTTACGTAGTAATTTAAAATATCTGAAATTAAATTTCTGAAATATTCTGATAGTTCAAGCACTGTATAACTTTTAATGAGGTTTCTGATTTTTTTTACATAACAGTAGAATTTTCTGGATACGATTTTGGATTAAGTTGGTTGCTTATTTCCCTTTTAAAAGCTGAAATCCTTGAGTTATGATCTTGTATCTGAATAAATTTTTTAACTGATTTTTGATTACTGTATGGTTAATGAATAAATGAAATATAAAATAGAAGGTATAATTTTTAATAGCAAAATTTATACCATGCTTTGTTGTTTATATCTTTTAGAAACAATATCAAATGTAATTTTTTATGAAATGCAGGTTAGTGTATGAGAACTTAAATAAACATTTTTTTTTTTTCATTACATATACAGTCAAATATATATTTTATGCATTTGAAATCTGTTCTTGAGGAAAGCTTCCTAAAACACTGCATGCCTTATCAAAGAAATTTATTTTAGCGTGATGTATTGTTTGATGTGCTGACTTTGTGAGAATGATAGCATGCTTGTTTAATTTTCATAATGTGTTGTGTAAAAAAATCTTGGTAGTAACTAAATCTAATTCAGAACATTAGGAATAAATCTGATGAATATTCTTGCCTTTGTTATTAATTTTTCTGAAATATCAACAGGCTGGGTTGTGTGTTGGTGACATGATTTTAGCTGCCAATGATACAGACTTGGTTGGAGCTGATTATGATACAGTAAGTGAATAAAAAGTTACTTTATTTTCTATATTTAGAAAGTATTTTTTTAATAAAATATTTGGTATTTGGGCATTCATATGCACATAATATTCTACAATATCCTCCAAATTAGAAGCGTAAATTAACAATACTCTGTTTGAATTATCATATAATAATCATTAATATTTTTTGAGCTGAGAAATGAGTAGAATTTCAACAACTATCTAATGAGAAGCCAAAATTAAAATAAATATAATTTCACATACATATGCTTTTTAAATAACTGTATTTTGGTAGAGTTACTAAGAAATTGTATATATCATTTAATGCCATCAAGCTATATTTCTACCCGTACAGAACTTGTTACAAATGTATTTGGTATCATAACCTGAAGATTATAATAGAGGCTAAAAAAGAAGGAAATCTTAGAGAGGGGGTACAGGTTTTTGGTTTGGTTTATTTAATTATGGCAAAGCATACTAAAGCTATCTGCCTAAGAGGGAGATGCCTTTGTGGAGGACTTTCTAAGGGAAACTGGCTCGTATACACGTTACACATGGGGAAAATCACGAAAACGCCCATGCAGCCAGCCCGTTCGTGGGATTCGAAGCGAACTACCAGTGTTCAGCGACCGCTCAGCCGCTGGTGGGCAGAGAGGGTATCAGTATAGTATATGTATATGGTGGAAGTATAGTATGTGTCTTAGAGAGGGTGTCAGAATATGTATATGTTGCTATTTTTGGAATAATGTTCAAGTTTCTCTGTTCCATGCATACATAATGTAACTGTATTGATACTGCATATATACAGTATAATGTTAAATTTACATTAATTTTAATATTACGTTCATACGTTAAATTGCATACAAGCTGCATAAAACCCTTTTCTTTTTGTTTATTAGTTAGTCCCATCTCGCATATATTATCACTTACCATTAAATTACATATACATTGTTTACAACATATTAATACATACATATTTGTTGCATAATATGTTATGTTTTTAGCATTTTTTAAATTTGTTTAACTAGGTATTTTAGGTTTTGAATCTTTACTCTCACTTCTCTATTTCCATTTTCTTGCCAGAATGTAAATTAGCTTGCATGCATTTAAGTGGAGGTTTGAAATTGTGAAGTCAGAGTATGTTTTGCCTAGTGAAGGCTATGTTCCTAGGTATGCTGTTCTAAGATAAGAGCTCTTGTCTTCAGCCATGCATTATAATTACCCATAGTATTTCTTGATGGTGAAGATTTAAGAGCCAACTTCATGATTAATTTACTCTGCATTTTGACTTTCAGCGATTTAGATTTACACTGAATTTCTATTTTTGAATTCTCGACATTTATGCTGGCTAATTTGTAAGCACTAGGTGTGCCCTCTGTTCATCTTATTTAGAAAAGAGAGTCTTTTATACACTTCTCAAGTTTCTATAGTACTTTTAAGACATAGCGATAATTTGCTTACAGTCTTACTGAGGTGTAGTCACAATATTTAGTAAAATGGATTTATTGTCTTGCATATTAACTGTTGCATATATTGTACAAAATTGTTGAGTATATATATATCAGGTATGGCAATTGCATGTATTGCACAGTCTTCTATATTATCGGTCTGTAATCCTTATTCACACAATTTCTTTTAAAGCTGTACCTTGTGATCCAGGATATAGTATACAGGACAACAAGGCCCCAGAGCTGTATATGATTTTCATAATTTGCATGGAATTAAACATAGCCCATAAATCATAGGTATACATGAATCTTATGATACATGCACAGCTGAAAATTAATGCATGAGACGTTACATTATATAATTAGTACATAATGTGATGTGTCAGATTTGTACTTATTATGGAAATATGTGGAATACACCTTCATGGATTTAAAACAGTAACAGAAGCTTAATCATCTATAAAAATTTCCATATTAACAAGTTTGATTGCATTTAGGTTTATGTTCAATGAAAGTGGCCTGCTGTGTTTTTCAATTGCCTAGTCACTGGAAATTTAAAATGTTCTCATATTTCATGATTAGCCGCCCAGATGGTATAGTAGTAAGGGGAGCCAACTACGATAGCGAAGGGCCTGAGTTTGAATCCTAAAGAAGGCATGGTTGTAACTGTCCGTCTCTTTATAGGAGGTAATGTTGGCCACCTATTAGGTGCTTCCACAATAAAATGTCCACTACTTCTGGCCTTAGGATTGGCCAATGTCAAAAAAAGATAAAATAGTGCCTGCCGTTTGGGGGGGGGAATTCAAGATTATATGAAATATGGAAAATGTTGAAATTCGGTCATAAATATAAAACTGATTCTGGGAGCAAGTACAAATTCAGCTTGCCCTCATCATTGTAGGAAATCTGATAAATTTCTAGAGCAGTGGTTCTCAACCTTTTTTGCCCTATACACGCCTTTCACCATTGCTGGATGATCATTCCCTCTTTCCAAAACTCAAAATACATATATGTTTATCTAAATTTAGACTATATTTTAATATGCATTATAAATTAAACAACAAAAAGTATAGAAAATGTTGATAAATATTAAGACTTGAATAAAATTAATTTTTTATGTTGATAAACTAAAACTAAATCCTTAACAGATAAATAAAAGGCTGATTGCATCCCACCCATTGAAACACTGAAATCCTTCCCTTGTTGAGAATCTTTGTTCTAGAGAGTACCATCGTTTGGGAGAAGTAAATTTTGATTTGTTTTTGCATAACTATGTCCTTCTCTTGACTGAAAAGATTAAAACATTAGGCTGCAATATTTAAAAGTGTATTGTACCAGATGACTAAGGATGGAAAGCATGCTATCTGGTCTGATAAGTCACTGTTATAATTACATAATGCAACAGAAAATTGCATGCATTGTGTAGACAGCATAATGCTATGAATCAGTCTTAAAGAATCGGGAAAGTAGGACTTAGATATTCAGCTCAAGAAGCATTTATTTGGGATTCCACGCTATCTGTTTTATCCATCATGATCTCTGCCATCAACTATGTAATAGACTTGCACTTGCTTATGAACTTTCAAAAAGTTTTTTGTGATGATATATCATTTCTCAACGTTAAAAATGCTTATTGTGTCATTCTTGATTGGCAACCAGCTAGCTGGAAAACTCTTTTGCAAAAAAAAAAAAAAAAAAAAAAAGGAAGCATTATGAAGGAACTGGTTTTATAGAATAATGAGGGTGCACTTTTAGTATTTATAATAAACTATTTATTTATAATAATAGAATGCATATTTACAGAGACCGGCAATACCAGCATTGTTCTATTTTCATATCAGTATCCAAAGTGATGCCAAATACAAGTTACTAAATATTACTTGTAGCCATTTACAAATTATTAAATTATTATATCTTCCATTTTTTTAAAGAGTTTAAAAGTTTTTTTTTTTTTTAACAGTCTAAAATTAGTCCAAATACCTGGCCGGCTTTCTAATCACTCTCCCACTTCTAGTTCTTTGCTCATCATCCCTTGTTTCTGAGTTAGCAGTATTTGGTAGTTGTTCTTCTAAACTTTGCCCTTGAGAATATGTGGAATCATGTCCTTTTACATCTGTTTTCTGTGCATTAACTCTTTGTTCTGTTCCTCTGATATTCTCTTCAACAGCTGAACTGTTTTCTCTAATGTCTTTTCTATTTCTTCTCAATACTGATCCACCTGATCTCAGTATATATGATCTAGTCGTCTTATATACTTTTACAACTGCTGGTTTCCAGTGATTATCTTGATATACCCTAAGACAATTGGTTGATTTTTTCTTTTACGTTTTTCACAACTTGAGATTTAAGTAATTTTTCGGATGTAGGAAGAATCGTTCTTGTTCTTCTACTCATAAGTTGTTGAGCTGGTGATCCTAACATCTCATTAGTTGGAGTGTTCCTATAAGCTAACAATCCTAAATAAGGATCAGCATGATCTGCTTGCGTTTTCTTTAGCCATTTCTTGGCCATTTGTAACTTTTGCAACCAGTTTAAGTGTTTTGAAAGCTTTTTGATGTTTTTCAGTCCAGTGCCAGAGAACATTTTTCTTAAGTAACTGTCTTAATGGAGCAGTAATAGTAGTTAAGTTAGGAATAAATTTGGCTAAATAATTAATCATTCCCAAAAATCTTTGTAGAGAAGGCATATCTATAGGTTCTGGCATTTTAACTATTGTTTCCACTTTAGAAAAATCAGGTTTTAGTCCATTTTCACTTAGCTCATGCCCTATATAATTTACATGATGAACTTTTATTTTACATTTAGCCTTATTTAACTTCAAATTATTTTCTCGTGCTATCTGGGGAACTTTTTTAAGTTGTAGCTCATGTTCCTTTTCATTAGATCCCCATATTAAAATATCATCTATAATACATTCAACACCTTCTAGACCTTCTATTATTTGGCTTAATTTTCTTTGGCAAATTTCTGGAGCTGAACATATGCCAAAAGGTAATCTTTTAAATTTGTATCTGCCAAAAGGTGTATTGAATGTACACAAATTACTTCTTTCTTCGTCAAGCTGGATTTGCCAAAAAGCAGTATTAGCATCCAAAACAGAAAACATTTTTGCATTTGGCATTCTAGTGACAACTTCGTCAATGGTTAACATCGGATAATGTTCTTGTTTTATAGCTTTATTTAAATCTCTAGGATCTAAACATATTCTTATTTTGTTAGATTTGACAACTGTGACCCATTCAGTGGGCTCTCTCACTTTTTCAATAACATTTAAATTTTCCATTCTTTGTAATTCTTTCTTAACTTTTATCTCGTATAGCTATGGGTATTTTTCTTGGAGGATAAATTACTGGTGTTGCATCTTGTTTTAACTGGATTTTATATTCTCCACTCAAACAACCCAAGCCTTCAAATACTTCTTTGTATTTCTCCAGTAAGCCTTCAGTGTAAACAGACATTACTTTTTGAATCAAACCTAGTTGCAAACATGATTTTAATCCTAATATAGAAGGTACTTCTTTGTCAATAACTTGGAATTCCACAACATACTTATTTTTTCCATATTGGCA